CAGTAATCAGCACAGAGAAATTACTATATATCAAGTAAGTACAGCGTTTGGAGATGGAAAGTGTAGGAAATGTGGACAGTGGGAGGTAGCACAAAGGTGGCAATTAAAGAGGAGAAATCAAAGGGCAGATGTTTCAAAACCCGGGGACTGAGTCTAGTTAGGTTTTAGTCCAACCATAGAAAATCTTAATGAGTGTCGTGTCCATCTATGATGGCTTAAAAAGATGTCCATAAATTCTTTACTACTCTTTGCTTCAGAAAGTAGAGCCTGACCCTCTTCCCATGAGCATGGGCTGCCCTGAGCAACTCACTTCTAATGACCAAGATGTGGCAGAAGCGATGGAGGGCAGCTTCCGAGACGGGCATTGTGGGTGGCTCTTTGCTCTCTGTTGATCTGTTGATCTCAGCTGCCATGTTGAGAGTACATTCAGGCAGCCCTACAGAGCCCCCCGGGGGTTCATGTGAGCAGACCGCCTTGGAAGTAGAGTCTGCATCCCCGATCGAGCCTTCAGATGACTACAGCCTCAGCCAGCATTTTGACTGCATGTTTCAAAAATGTGTTAAGATTCTTTGACAAACTTAAATGTAGAGTACTCTGCCATACTATCAGTACTCGTACTTGTTGAGGAACGAGTGTGGCGTGGTCCTTTTTCATCTGATTTCTTGAAGTCTGTTCTAGAAAGCCAATCATGGAAGGACTACAACAGATGAGAACAGGACTGATGGAGTTGCTTTCATGGGAATCATTCCCTGGCTCCCTCTGGAGGCAGAATTGTTTTGGGTCAGGAGTAACTCCATCTCCATCAGATGCAGGGACTGACTCACTTTGAAAGGAAGAGACCATACAGCAGTGTCCCAGCTGTCCCTTCAGGGGAAATTCCCTATGAGAGATGCCTGGAGCAGAGCCAGAGTCCTCAGGACAGAATCGGAAAGGTATCTGCAGACTGGCACTCCCTCCATCATGGGCTGCTTTGCCCATAAATTGCATTCCCATCTTTTTCTGGTGACCAAACGTTTGTTGATGGGCTCCAACACTGCTGATGTTTGTTCCAGATTTTCTTTCTTCCAGTTCTCAAACTGCATCAGAATCCCCTGAAGGGCTTATTAAAACACACGGTGCTGGAGGTTAAAACACAGATGACTGGGCTCCACCCCAGAATTTCTGCTGCAGCAGGGTTGAGGCAGAGCCTGAGAATTTGCATTTCTTTTTTCTTTTTTTTATTTAATTATTTTGAGATAGGGTCTCACTCTGTCATCTAGGCTGGAGTGCAGTGGCGCTATCATACCTCACTGTAGCCTTGACCTCCCGGGCTCAAGTGATCCTCCCACCCTGACCGCCCAAGTAGCTGGGACCACAGGTATGCACCACCACACCTGGCTAATTATTTTAAATTTTGTGTAGAGATAGGGTCTCACTATGTTGCCCAGTCTGGTCTTAAAGTCCTGGCCTCAAGTAATCCTGCCACCAAAGGGCAGGTATTACAGGTGTGAGCCGCCATGGCTGGCCCCTGAGAATATGCTTCCTAACCAGTTCCCAGAGGATGCTGATGGTGCTGGTCTTAAGAGCACACTTGGAGAACATCTTAACTAGTTCACCTTCACACTTCATTTAGAGGTGTTCAGTGGTAACATGTAACAGTGTATGTTAGTATACAGATTGGTCTTTTTCAGATTTCCTACAGAAAATCTACTCAGTTTAAATTAAAGAGCACTCCCCAACTTTTAGCACTCCTGCTTGGCATAAATTGGTTCTACCTCCTTAACTTTAAGGTTTCTGGTCAGGAGCCCACGAAATTAAAAATTACCTCTTCTGCTGTGAAAATTTTATTGCTACAACTCATGCGTGCATACAGGCACATACACACACCATGATGTTAAATTAAGGAGCTTGAATTAAAAGCAAATTTCCCTTATGTAGAAAGTCATCTGTTGATCATTTGGCTTAATTAAAATTGGGAGTATCATATATTTACCATGAATCACTCCCATACTGCCTCCACTAAAAATGATGCCACTTTATCTCTAAGTTGAGCCTGGCTTATAGTAAACTCTGTAAGTGAGACTGCCCTTCATGTTTTCCTAAAAGCACAACTTCTAGTACAGAATATACATCTTTACAGAATATTAATCATCTATAGGCTGAGGCCTAATCTGAGATTAACCTTCTGGTTTCTTCCTGGAGTTTCATCCAGGAGCATGCCCTGGGCCTCACATGGCGATGAGATGGGGCTTTTCCCCTCAAAGGTTTGCTCTTATTTGGTCTATTTGGGACGGAGGTATGCATAAATACAAACTACACTTACAATTGTTCCTTTCATTCTTTTCTGTTAACAGCTGTGGCTGGTGGGTGAGCCCAGCTGCCTTGCACAATTCGAGTCTTCTCACTCATTCCCCTGAGTTGTCATTGGTATAAATGGAGTGATTCCTTGTTTTGCCAGGGTTGCACACTTCTTATCAAACATATTTGGGCTTTTGTGAACTCTGTAATAGACAATGGCCTAGGCCTTTGTTAACTGTCTCGGGTCCTGCTGGGAGGTCGCAGAGCGGGGCCGAGCTGCTGGACCCTCAGAGCAGGAAGTTCCTGAGCTTTGAGAAAAGCAGAAAGCTGGTCTGGGAATTCCATGAAAAATTTCAGATGTTAGGCTGTGGTCCTGCCACTGGCCAGGCATGAACCTGATGCTACCTACCAAGCCAGTGGGTAGAGGATTTACCCTGTTTGGGGTCAGTGAGGCTTCTTAGCAGTGGGATAGCCTTTGAGCTGAGCCTTAAGGGAACAGTTGATCATGAGCAGACAGAGGATGACCCCAAGAACACCATGAACAGGAGTGACATTGGGACTGGGGATGGGAAATCCTTTAGTCTGATGGATTGGAACCACAGGCAGGGGCCAGGTGGGTAGGTGAATTTTACTCTCGGGCCCTTGAGGGGAGACCAGACTCCCTCCTCCGCTCCACCAGCCACACTGCCTCTTTAGTGCCACAGAACAGGACCTGCTTCCCTTTCTTCACCAAGGTGCCAATTTCCCGAGCAGTCTCTACCAGCCCTGCCTCGGAGAGCACAGGCTCAGCTCCACATTGTCCAGAGGGCTCTCCTGCCCCCCAGTGCATACCTGTGTGTGCACACACATTCATACATTCACACACATGCACTCACACGCTACACATACTCCGTCTCGTATCTGCACACGCTCACACACTTAGAGCTCCGGTACCTCTTGCTCCTCTCTCATGCAACTCTGTTTTTTTGTTTTGTTGTCTTTTTCTTTTTTTTTTTTTTAATAGAACTTACTGCCCTGTGCAGCCATCTGTGCACCTCTATTTATCTGCTCCCCACACTGGATTGTCACAGAGCATATGTCCTGCATGCACACACACGTATCCAGGGTACCGCCTGCCTGGCATGTGTTAGTAACTAATTGTTATTCATTTAATGAATTGATCAAAACTTGATATTTTTGTACAAAGAACATTTATCATTCAGTATCTTCTTTCTTACATGTTCTTCAGCAAATGAGATAAAAGACCTCTCTCTTTCTCTCTCTCTCTCTCTCTCTCTGTGTGTGTGTGTATATATATTTTTTTTTCTTTTTTTTTTTTTTTTTGAGATGGAGTTTTGCTGTTGTCGCCCAGACCAGAGTGCAGTGTCGTGATCTCTGCTCACTGCAACTTCCACCTCCCGGGTCCAAGCGATTCTTCTGCCTCAGCCTCCCAAGTAGCTGGGATTACAGGCACGCATCACCATGCCTGGCTAATTTTGTATTTTTAGTATAGATGAGGTTTCACCATGTTGACCAGGCTGGTCTCAAAGTCCTGACCACAGGTGATCCACCTGCCTCGGCCGCCCAAATTGCTGAGATTACAGGCGTGAGCCACTGCACCTGGCCAATAAAAGATACATTTTGATTAAAATAATGACATGTTTCTAAAATATTCTGAATTATAAGGCACTGACATCACAGAATGTAAATATTTTTCAATAAAATCTATAATCAAACCATAGTTCAGCTTCCTCTGGGATATTGTGAACTATGTTTAAAATGTGACCGGAATTTTCCACTGCTGTTCATATTTTCAAATGCTTAGAATTAGAAAAATTAGCCAGGCATGGTGGCACATCGGGAGGCCCAGGCAGGAGAATCCGCTTGAACCCAGGAGGCAGAGGTTGCAGTGAGCCAAGATCGCACCGTTGCACTCCAGCCTGAGCAACAAGAGCAAAACTCCGTCTCAAAAAAAAAAAAAGAATTAGAAAAATGTTGACGTCTTAATTTCTAATAGTGTTAGACATCAGAAATAGTAAAATTTCTAGCCACTGCCTGCATACAAACCACTCTTAATAAATTCCCAGTTTATCAAAAAATAGTTTGGGAAATGAAAAACGGCAAATTTCTTCCGCAGTCAGGGCAACACTGTATATTCCATAATGAGTTTGCACTTTTCAAATAACTAAAACGCATTTAGCACTGAAACTGGGCTAAGCAGAATTTATTTTTTTCTTTGGTTCAGAATTTCAGAATCATGGACTGCCTCCAGGTCTTTCTGAACATCTGATGCCGTTCTAGAGATAAAACAGAGACCTGGCTGGGCGTGGTGGTTCATGCGTGTAATCCCAGCACTTTGGAATGCTGAGGCGGGGAGGTGGGGGAATCACCTGAGGTCAGGAGTTCAAGACCAGCCTGGCCAACATGGCGAAACCCCGTCTCTACTAAAAATACAAATATTAGCTGGGCGTGGTGGCAGGCGCCTGTAATCCCAGCTACTCGGGAGGCTGAGACAGGAGAATCGCTTGAACCTGGGAGGAGGAGATTGCAGTGAGCCAAGATTGCGCCACTACACTACAGCCTGGGCAAAAGAGTGAAACCCCGTCTCAAAACAAACAAAAAACCAGAGACCCAGCGTTTGAGCAATGGGTGGTTTGGATTTAGACACACAGGAGATGTGGATGGATTTAGACACAGCTCCCAGCTGTGGGCCTGGCTGTAACTGTGTTCTGTTTCCTCCCCAGCCCAGCGACTTCTCCGTGTCCCTTAAAGCGTCAGGGAAGAACAAACACTTCAAGGTGCAGCTCGTGGACAATGTCTACTGCATTGGGCAGCGGCGCTTCCACACCATGGACGAGCTGGTGGAACACTACAAAAAGGCGCCCATCTTCACCAGCGAGCACGGGGAGAAGCTCTACCTCGTCAGGGCTCTGCAGTGACGGCGCCCCGGCCCCACACTCGCCTCCCGGGCCCCACGGTGGAGCTGCCCGTCCGGCCCTGTGGCAGAGGCTCCTCCCGTGGGGACGGCCCCGACGGCTTCTCCTTGAGTCTCTCTTTATGTTCAGGTCGCTTGGTCGGTTTGTCTCCCATTCGCCATCCAGGCCTAACACCCACACTCGAACCCACCCGGCCGGCCAGCTTTAGAGGAGGGGAGGAGAGGGGCGAGTTCCCATTATTCCTTTTCCATCGGAAACGGCGCTCGTGCATTCAACTCGTTCCCGCTCATGGAACCCCTCTTTAAAAAGACGCAGGGCACCTGTGAGCGCAGGAGCGAGCCTCAGGCCACCCAGCGGCAGCTCCCGCGTCCTGGGCACTCTGCGTGCTGGGCAGAGCAGGTGGGCCCCAGTCCTAGCAGCCCTCGCCCGTGTCCTGTGCCCTTACATGGCTCCCGGACTCTGCAGGGAGCCGACACGTTTGCTGATAGCAATACTGGAACCACCAGGTGCGATGGCAGTAAGGAGACTGCCCAGTGCCTTTGGGGGCTGTGCTTGCAATAAAGAATTTCCTGGAAAGGCAGTCTGCAAAAGAGGGAACCGGTGACGCAGAAAGACAGATGTTTTGGTAATTTACCCCAAATGTGCCATCCACATAGTGCTTTTTCCTCTTGCCCTTCGGCTTGTTTGAATCTCACAATTATGTATTTAATTCTCAAAGAAATATGTATCTGTAGCCGTTTGTTGACACTAATACAGATGATTAAGGAAAACAGCTGGTCTTTGGGGAAGGGAGCTACCAACACTTTATACACACACACACGTGCGCGCGCACACACACACACACACACACTATATATATATATTATTTACAGGGAAATTTTTCAGGGTTTACAAAAGAGTATGTGATTGGTAGTAAGAGACACAGAATGTTTATGAAGAAATTGCATTTTCTTTTTCCTTTACATTTGAACTTCTTTATAGTTTAAATATACCGTCTTGAGATGGCACATTCCTACGATTGAAGAAGGGGTCTTGAGATCCCCTAAACTTGCATACCCAGTTTTTTGGATATTGTAATAAAAAAAAAAAGTATTATGACAAGGCTCTGTGTGTATTTATCTTCGGGAAAACTGCGACTCAATCACGGGAGAGTAATTACTGAAGCTTTCACTCATTGCAGAGTGGGAATCATTTTTAAAGAAGAGCTTAACATTTATTACTTGTGTGTTTTCATTTTCTACCCCCACATTTTTGTATATTGAAATAATGAGTTTTAATTAGTGAAACTCCACGGGAACCCAGAATCTCAAGCTTGCTCTGAACTTTGCTCTTTGGAAAGCATTTGTTTAGAAATATGTTGCTGCACTCTTGGCAGCCAGCGCTCTCACAGTGTGTGTCCCCCGTGGCTGACTCTCGATTTGTCCTCTCGATCAGGAGCATTTATATTGATGCGCCAGGCCTTGAGGGTGCAGAGTCACATGACTTGGCATTTGTGCCCTCCTAGGTCAATCATGTATCAAGCGTGCCATGTGCTGCGCTCCCATTTGTTCCTCATCACAGCTCCATGAGGATCATCCCCATTTTATAGATGGGGAAAGTGAGGCCCACAGGCAGTGCAGCCAACACATGGCTGCTGTGTGGTGGAGCCAGAATGCACAGCTAAGGATCTGCACCAGCGCTGGACCCTTCCAACCCCAGCCTAGGGAGGCGTTCGGGAGAAGCGACGTGTTGCACACTTACTCTGCCATGCGAGTTCCCTGTGAGGAGATTCTATCTTTTTATTGCCTTAGATTATAATAAATTAGAAGTCTGGTGTCTTATACCTGGGGTTGGTGGCACCCAGTTATTGTGAATAGACATTCAGGTGAGTAAGGGAGATCATTACATGAGACAGAATACATCCAGGGAAAAACCAGTTCTTCCAGACTCTTTCGGGTCTCACTAATGAGAATGACATTTTGACCCGATGCTGGAATCCCACTAAATATTGAGTGCCTCGACCGCTGAATGACTTTGGTGCACACATAGCAATTCGGGTATAGCCGAGCAATTAAAGGACCAAAGACAAATGTACATTTTGGCTTCAGGAACTTATTTAAGACTCACAGTTGTAGGTGACAGTTATTTTAAGTTTTGTCACATGCTGGCTTGTGGGCGTCCTCTGCCTGTGGGAGGTCAAGATTAGTATTTTTGTATTAAGAAACCAGCACCCCAGGATGTCAGATGGACCAGTGGAGGGTGAGTTGATAGTCCCGTGATGAACCACTAGTCAGAGTGGGAGGTCCAGGGAGGGTCCCCATGTGGCTTGAAGTGTGGCCACTGATGCTCTGGCCAGGCGGGTCAGTGCCATCAACCTTCCTGCTTGTCCGGAGATTTCCCGGACAGATAGTTCTTGTTTTGCTATTCTGTTGCCTCTTTGCACAGACAGCAAGGGACAATAAAGGTTAGTCATTCTGTACTCAGGTAACTTTGCTCACTTTTTTGTATCTAAATATGCCTTCTACGTAAAGATCGTGCCATCCTGCTGAATTACAGTACATAACCACCAAGCCCGTCACGTGTGGTTTATGGCCCAGTGCCACGAAATGATGTTTCTAGTGAGCTACAACTGGCCATCTTTTTTCCCAAACTGCATCAAAAATTAAAATCTTACAGTCTTTATAATGGCTGAAACCAATATTTCCAAATATTTTCAGTGCTAGTTCAGCTGTGTCTCGGTTTCTATGTGCTAACTGGTCTGCAATCAACTTTTCTACCCTTCCTACCGCTCAACACCAGAATACCAAAGTAATTTCTTAAGACCAAAGTTCAGAACGGAAAGGATAGAAGAGTTTGAAAGTATTATTTAAATCTTACATTTCAATAAACATGAGTCTGGTCTTGGCCTTTTCTTACTGGAATGCAGCGCTGTGTATTGTTGGTATCTGATTGTGTCGTTGATGTGGTTATTTGGGTTCTAACATCCTGCCCCATGCTGACTGCTCTCCTGAGGAGCGGCATTGCAGGCTTTGGGTACCTGTTTAAGCCAGGCATGATGGCAGTGCCCAGCTGTCCTTACCAGCCCTGGGACTTCAAGCAAATTACTCAGCATCTCTGCTCTGAATGTGTTTGCCCCCGAGTCAAATGGGGCTGCCCTGGTGAGGGTGCTTGTGCGAGTGCTACCTAACAGTGATGGATGCCCACGGGGGTGGCCTGTGTGTGTCAAGGGATCTGCTCAACATTTTTCTCACTTGGAACTAACTCATTGGTGCCCTGTTAGCCAGGGGCTTCCTCAGGGCCCCCCTGAAGAGCCAACTGCCTCAAACCCTCAGTGTGATCCTTCCCTAGCAGTCTTAGGGCCAATATACCCCTGCTTCTTAAAGCTTAGACTCCTCGAGTGTTGAAGAGGAGTTGCTTCACCAAACTGTTCAGCTGTCTTTCATTAGAAGCCCAAACCAAAAGCTGCACTCAGCCATACTCAGCACTGGCCTTCTTACCTGCAGTGGTTGGTGAAATCATATCCCTAAAAATGATCCTGTTGGGGGCAGGAAACATCTTTGTTTTCTCCTTAGGGGTTGGGAGTAGGATGGGACGGTGGGAAAAAGAAGTTCACTAAGCCAACCGGTATTCCACAAATACTGGGATGTTCCCCACAGGCTTCAAGTAGATAAGAGTAGAACCCAAAGTCAGGTCTAAACCACCTCATTGGAACCTCCCGCTGGAACATTCTCAGCCCAAGTCTGACACAGTGGCTATTGAGCATTGGCCAAAAGTTCAATAAGCCAACCAGTGTCCAGAAAACCTGTGCAGCCCACTTGGACATCTAGCCATTAGGAAATGTTCTCATTCTTGTGCGGTTCGTCAGCACAAACTGGGCTCACTCCAGTTTGCGGGGCAACAGAGTAGTCATCTGTGTGTGTGTGTGTGTGTGTGTGTGTGTGTGTGTGTGTGTGTGTGTGTGTGTGTGTTTTAACTTGCAAGTTTAGGGGCACATGCGCAGGTTTGTTATGTAGGTAAACTTGTGTCATAGGGGTTTGTTGTACAGACTATTTTGTTACCCAGGTACTAAGCCCAAGCCTAGTACCCGTTAGTTATTTTTTCTAATCCCCTTCCTCCTCCCACCGTCCACCTTCCAGTAGGCCCCAGTGTGTGTGGTTCCCTCTGTGTCCATGTATTCTCATCATGTAGCTCCCACTTACAAGTGAGAACATGCTGTCTATGGTTTTCTGTTCCTACATTAGTTTACTAAGGATAATTGCCTCCAGCTCCATCCATGTCCCTGCAAAGGACATGATCTTGTTCTTTCTTATGGCTGCATAGTATTCCATGGTGTATATGTATCACATTTTCTTTTTCCAGTCTACAATCGATGGGCACTTAGGTTGATTCCATGTCTTTGCTATTGTGAATAATGCTGCAGTGAACATATGTGTGCATGTATCTTTATGATACAACAATTTATATTCCTTTGGATATTTACCTGCTAATGAGATTGCTGGGTCAAATGATAGTTCTGTTTTTAGGTCTTTGAGGAATCACCACACTGCTTTTTACAATGATTGAACTAATTTGCATTCCCACTAACAGTGTAAAAGTATTCCTTTTTCTCTGTGACCTCGCCAGCATCTGTTCTTTTTCGACTTTTTAATAGTGACCATTCTGATTGGTGTGGGATGGTATCTCATTGTGGTTTTGGTTTGCATTTCTCTAATGATCAGTGATGTTGAGTTTTTTTTCATGTTTCTTGGCCACATGTATGTCTTATTTTGAAAAGTGTCTGTTCATGTCTTTTGCCCACTTTACAATGAGGTGGGTTTTTTTCTTGTAAATTTTTTAAGTTCCTTATAGATACTGAATATTCACTATACCTTTGTCAGATGCAGAATTTGAGAAAATGTTCTCCCATTCTGTAGGTTGTCTTTTTACTCTGTGGATAGTTTCTTTTGCCTGCAGAAGCTCTTTAGTTTACTTAGATCTCATTTGTCAACTTTTGCTTTAGTTGCAATTGCTTTTGGTATCTTTGTCATGAAATCCTTGCCTGTTCCTATGTCCACAGTGGTATTGCCTAGGTTGTTTTCCAGAGTTTTTATGATTTGGGTTTCACATGTAAGTCTAATCCATCTTAAATTGATTTTTATATATGGTGTAAGGAAGGGGTCCAGTTTCAGTCTTCTTCATTGGTAACCAGTTATCCCAGCACCATTTATTGAATAAGGAGTCCTTTCCCCATTGCTTGTCATTTGTCAACTTTGTCAAAAATCAGATGGTTGCATGTGCCTTATTCCTGGGCTCTCTATTATGTTCCTCCATTGGTCTATATGTCTGTTTTTATACCAGTACCATGCTGTTTTGGTTACTGTAGCCCTGTAGTATAGTTTGAAGTCAGGTAGCATGATGCCTCCAGCTTTCTTCTTTTTGCTTAGGATTGCCTTAGCTATTTCAGCTCTTTTTTGGTTCCATATGAATTTTAAAATGTTTTTTTTCTAGTTCTGTAAAGAATGTCAATGACAGTTTAATAGGAATAACACTGAATCTATAAATTGCTTTGGACAGTATGGCCATTTTAACAATATTGATTCTTCCTATCCAGGAGCATGAATTTTTTTTTTTTCCATTTGTTTGTGTCATTTCTTTAAGCAGTGTTTTGTAGTTTTTCTTGTAGAGCCCTTTCACCTCCCAGGTTAGCTGTATTCCTGGGTATTTTATTCTTTTTGTGGCAATTCTGAGTGGGATTCTGTTCCTGATTTGGCTCTTGGCTTGACTATTGTTGGTGTGTAAGAATGCTAGTGATTTTTGTATGTTGATTTTGTAGAAGTTGTTTATAAGCTGAAGGAACTTTGCAGAAGTTGTTTATCAGCTGAAGGAGCTTTTGGACTGAGCCTCTGGGTTTTTCTAGATATGGGGTCATGTCATCTGCAAACAGGGATAGTTTGACTTCTCTCTTCCTATTTAGATGCCCTTTATTTCCTTCTCTTGCCTGACTGCTCTGACTAGAACTTTCAATACTATGTTAAATAGGAGAGAGGGCATCCTTGTCTTGTGCTAGTTTCCAAGGGCAACACTTCTAGCTAGCTTTTGCCCGTTCAATATGATATTGGCTGTCGGTTTGTCATAGGTCACTT